CTCCAGGGGGTTTGCAAACCCCACTGAGCATCATGTGATGGGTCTTGGCACAAGGGACAAACCAGTCCACAGAGCATGGTCAGGGCTGAAAGAGTAATTTGAGCAGGCAAAAAGATCAACCACAGGTTTTCCCTGCCAAAGGAGAAATATGACTTGGGACAAAAAAATTCCATGTTTGCCTGAGCAGAATAATCTGCAAATGCAATCAGCCATTTGGGTAATTGATGTTCCTTGCTGTGCTCAAACTTCTCCGTCAAAACTGTGGGGGAAAAAAATCGCTGCTGAGGAGAAACTCAGATCTCTGAATTGCAAAGGACACAGCCACAAGACCCAGCACAGCCCCGAGGGAACTAACAAGAGTACAGAGCAGCATTTGATGTTCCCGAGGCTGCTCCGAGCAGCCCAGCTCCCCAGACCGGGAATCCGATCACGGTAACAAAAGCAAACAAACCACGGTTTAAATAGAAGCAAAAACGTTGGAAGGGAAAAACCAATGAGAGCAAATGTTTACCCCAAAGATGGGATAGTTTAGAAATTATGGCTGGGAGCCAACTCTCCAATATTTTTAGTTTCAGAAGGTTTGCAAGCCTCAGCTGCCAGTGGGGCCCTGGCCCCTCTGCCCTTGGAGCAGTGACCTGCTGCAGGTGCAGCTCCAGACACCCCGGGGCAGGAGCAGGAGGACAGGTTCAATGCCTCCTTTTGGGACACATTTGAGAATGGCTTGCAATTTATCAGCTAATTATGATTAGAGCAGAAACAGGTAAGGTAATTATCATGGCTATGGACACACAGTGAAGAAGCCTGGGGGCATTATGGAAAGGGAAAACCGACAGACCCTAAAATGCAGTTTTAATATGGATTCATACTAAGAACAAGATCTTGCTAGCTTTAGTCAAAAACCCACCTTTGAGAGCTGCTTTAAGAAGATGAAGTTCTGGGATTGTTTGTGATAGGAAACCATGAGGGATTAAGGAATTCAAGAGGAAACCACAAGCCTTCCAGTGCCTACAGGGTCTCTGGGAGACCCAGAAAGGGACTTTGGACAAGGGTCTGGAGGGACAGGACACAAGGAATGGCTTCCCAAAGGGCAGGGATAGATGGGATACTGGGAAGGAATTGTTTCCTGGGAGGATGGGGAGGCCCTGGCACAGATTGCCCAGAGCAGCTGTAGCTACTCCATCTCTGGATGGTCTTTAGGGTCCCTTCCATCCCAAATCATCCCAGGATTCGATGATTAAAACCTGGCAGCAGCAGAGGAGAGTGAGGAATTGGAGAATCAGGCACAGCTGCAGCAGCCAGTGCTATCCTGTGAACACATCAAGGAGAGCTCAAGTACAGAGATAAGAGCAGACAAAAGAGATAAAAAAGAAGACGATGCCTTGTGTTGTGACTGCTGTTTAAGGGAAGGACAACAATGTGATGACCAAACCCCCCCAGTGCCAGCCCTCCAGGGCAGCCAGCCCCTGCTGAGGTCAGCCCCACACACAGAAGAAACAAACCAGGTGTGAACTGATATTAATTTTATTCACATTTCCAGAGGAAAGCATCGGTGGAGTGCAAGGTCATGGCTAGTGTAGAAAAGCTCAAGTATTTGGTTTAAAACAGGCAGATATTTCTGAGGCTGAGCCAAGCCCCTGCTCTCTTCCCTACACGTGCTTCCAGTTCAAGTAACAGGAATCTCCAAAATAAGCTGGCTCATCACATCATGGGGGGGATGTCAAAAACCTTAAAGCTCTCTGTGGTATAAATCCCTAAGTAGGGCATAAAAGTAGCAGACAGGAAATCTTGTACAGCTGAACTGGCTTATCCTTGGGCCAAGTGTTGGGCTTTTCCTTCAGCAGCAGAGTTTTGCTGTCAGCGATGCCAAATGCTCCTGTCCAATTTTAATGTGATTCATTACCCAGAGCTGAAATTTGCTGCTACTGGATTATGGGGATGATTGTTGGTGATGGCACAGAAAAAAAATTTAACAGGACTTCCAGCCGAGGAGAAGAAGAGAAAAAGAGAAAAAATTGATTGCTTTGAATTTCAAAAACAACAAAAAGGGAACAAAAACACAGCCAGGAATAAGATTTTGAGAACTGAAATTCCTAATTGCACGGCTGGCCCATGGGAACTTGACACAGCTCCGAGTTGCTTCTAAGGAATATATCTGTATTGCTAAGAGACTCCTGGGTTCAGCTGGGCCAACAACTGGTTCTTGCTGACATCCAGCAGACTCAAAATCCTCCCAACCCCAGGTGGCATTAACCAGCTTCAGATTTGCTCCCCACAGAGCCACAACTTTTGGATTTTTGCTTCAAAGTGCACATTTCAAATTACACAAGGCATCAGATGACCAAAGACCTCTGCAGAGCCCTGGCCACGCCACAGGCCTGGAGCAGGACTGGGAACAGGTGGAGCAGAGTTTGGACAGGCAGCAGGAACAACTCAACGAGACACAGTGGAAAGCAGCACTCCCTGACACAAGTGGAATGGCACCAGCAACTGATGAATTCCTAAGTTTTGGGGCTAAAAGATGAGATGGTTTAGTTTTTTTCTATATTGTAAATATCAGGGAGTTTTAAATGTGTCCAGTGAAGACACTGGAAGTCTTTTTGTCCTGTGAAGTTGCTGGATTTAATTGGAATACAGCTATATTTGGGAAAGGAGTGGGTAATAGATGTGTGCACATTCTTGCTTGCTCTGCAAAGACAATTATCAGATTACAAAAAAAAGGCACAAGAAGCACATTCCTCCTTCTTTTATCCCTAAAAGGTTCCTCCTTCCCCCCTGCTGAAAGCACTGTGCTGGCTGTCACTGAACAACCTCCAAGTACACATTTTCCTCTTTGATCCAGCTGGCTCGGAAGCCCCAAAGATTAAAGATTTCTCTTCTGTTTGAATAATGTCACTGACTAGAATCTCATGGCTTGTTTAACTAATTCTCTTCATCCTCCATCTATATATAGTAAAAAAATGGAATTAATATTATATTTTGGTTTATTGCTAGAGGCAATCTGCTGTCCCCCAAATCAGGCTCCCAAAGGAAGGAGGTGAAACAGAAAATCTGGAAGGACCTGCTTGCTTGAAACAAGAAAAAGGCAAAATTGCACTTGCCCCACCTGGCTGGGTGTCACAGAGGGGGAAACTGGGGCAAGGAAGGGCTCAGGATTATTTAGCAAGTCAGTGGAGAGCCAGGAATAAAACAGCCCAGCTCTGGATCTTCTGTTCCAGTTGTCAAGAAACAATTTTGCTTTGCCCAGAAGGTAAGTTCTGTCAGAAGACAGGACATGCCACTTACAATTCAAGTCTTAATGTTGACACTGGATGTGCAGAGCAGGATAAAGGAATGTGACTCTTTGGTGAACATCCTGGTTATCATACTAAAAATGTATTTTAATAAACTAAATTCACCCCTTGCCTAGTCCTTAACACTGCCATAAATTTCTCCCCTGCAGCTGCCTGGCTGATATTTAATGGTTCAGCTATTAAATATCCCACCAAACCTGTGTCTTCTCTGTGAAGCTTAAACTCCTAAAATTCTTATTAAAAAAATATGGAAACAAATTGTTCTAAATATTATTCCAGGAGTGAATTGCTTCAGTGGTGTGGATTCTATTTACAATTTTAAGGAACCTTCTGCTTCAGACAAGTCACAAGAACCTTCTCAGCAGCAGGAGGGTTGGACAAAGCATGTGGGTGACAGGAAGGGGGAACAAGTGTGTTCCTTGTGTCACCACAGTCACGGACAGCTTGTTCGCTCTGTTCCTGTCAGCTCCTGGGTAGCCATGCTGGTGGCAGAGATGCCAAGGGAGTTTGAGGTGCCTGTGGATGGATTACATCACCGTGCAGTGTGCTGAGACACCCCCACAGCCTGGCAGAGGCTGAGGGCAGAACCTGCCTTTGGCAGCTCCAGGTGACACCCCCAGTGCTCCCACGGGTTCCCACACACACAGGATTCAGCCAGCAGCTATGGACAAAGGGCTGCAAGGGCTGCCTGAGCTGAGGTGGTTCTAGAACAGCCAAACAGCCATCAGGGAGAGTGGGCAGAGGGAGAGCCACGAGCTGGTGCTGCCAGCAGCAAGTGGAACAGTGCACAGAGCCCAGCAGGACTCAGCGTGTCTGCCACGGGGAGAGGAGAACTCGGGAATGCCCGTGTGGAAACCTCCACCCCAGATGTCCATGGGATGCTCCTTAAACTGCCTCTGCTGCAGCAGGAACCACCCGTGCTCCCAGCCAGGAGAGCACAGGCTGCACGTGCAGGAACACAGCCCCAGGCTCCACTCCTTTCCCCACACACAGCAGCTCTCTCTTTTGGGAAGTTCCCTCATTTTGCTGTTTAAGTCCTGATTCCTCTCCAGTCTCACATCCCTGTGTGCTCTGCCTGCTCTCCTCCCAGAGGCAGAGGAGCTGCTACCCTACCCTCCAGCTCTCTGGCAGAACCCATCGAAGTCCACCTCAAGGGACAAAGGCCAAAGCACTTCACATTCATCAGTTTGGATGGTTCAAAAGAAAAGCCATTTGTTTCTAGGAAATCTGTTTACACACACACTCTGGCCACTGCTGGCTTCCCAACTCCTATTCTTAGCATTTGGCTGACAGTGGAGAGGGCAAGAACACACACCAATCCCCAAGTGCTCTTGATTGTGCCATTTTGCCAGATGTTCCTGGTGCAGAAGGAGCTGCACAAAAGCACTGATGGGAGAATTACAGCTATAACACATCTCTCTGTCTCCAGCAGCAGATGCCCTTATGGGATCTTTGCCTACCCAAAGCCCACCTGCACTGCCCTTGCCTCCTGACAGGGAATGACAGGAATGAGAACATTTTGCTTGCTGGCAGACCAGAGCAAGCCATCCCTGATGGAAACCTGCTGCTCATGCTCCCTTCCTGCTGGGTGTAAGTAGCCCAGCAGCCAAGGGTATCACAACAACCAGGATCAGTAAGAAAAACTGGAATTTAACAATCAGTCCTGAAAAGGTCAGCTCCTGAGTCACAGCAGAGAAGGATACGGGGGAATTGCTTTGAAGTGCATCTTTTTCCTCTCTCTTTATTACACAAAACACATTAAACTCGCTGGTGATCACTCAGTTTTTCAGGCACTATCACTGGACACAAAGCCAGTTTTACTCAAAACTTTCTTCTTGCTCCTGCAGCTCCACCAGTGCTACCCTGGATTCCCCTTAGAACTGGAGGTTTCTTCTCGATCTCAAAAAGAGATTGATATATCAAAACCAATTCAATTACAAAATATAATAATATCCTCTTCTTGGAAGTGAAGCTGCCCCATATTCCAGACTGTGGCAGGATTTTTATAACCTCAAACCATTTTTACTAAATTCTACTTAAAATGCATCAGAGTTCCAATCCACCTGTCTGGTGTGTTGTAATGCTCACAGCTGAAGATCCATTCCCTGTCAATTCCTCCTGGATCTGCCAAAGGCCTCTTCTCAGTTGTCTTCTGCAGACTTGAACATGAGGATGGCATTGTAGATCTTCAGGGCAGGGCCCAGCTTGATGCTGAGTATTTTAACGATGTCATTCTGCTTGAGGAGCAGGAAGGCCTCGCCATCAATCTGCTGGAGGTTGGAATAGAAACAGGACCGGGATTAACCACCAAGGGACAGACAGGATTTCCACTTCTGGTCATTCTGGGATTCTTGCCTAGTTCTGGCCCCTACACCCCATGATGTCCTCTTTCCAAAGGACACAGACCTCATCTCACAGAGCTCTCCCTAGAAATGGAGAAGCTCTGCCCATGGCAGAGGTAGAATGAGATGAGCTTTTAAGGGCCTTTCTAGCTCACACCATTCCATGAGTCCATATGCTATATAGACTAAGGCATAGTGAAGATGCAATATGGCTGGAAAAACAGAGCCTCCTACTCCATCAACAAGGACATATATTTGATTAGATGCAAATTAAGCAACTGATGAACATACTACCAGGTGAAAATACAGAATACTGCAGGTAGCAGCAAGTAAGATCATGACACACCGTTTCTGGAAGAGGTTAAAATTTACTCAAGCAAGAACATCCACAGAGACAACACAGATATAATTAATATAAACCCCAAATGCTGCAGGGAGGAAGCCAAAGATTAATGGACACAGACAAACAATAAGTGTCTCCCTAAGTTATTCCATTAAAATCCATTTACAGAGACTGACAGTGTCTCCTCCTCTCACTTGATTCTCACCAGTGCAGCACACAGCACTGGACAGTCAGCCCAGCCAGAATAACAATTCTGCTATTTTTGTAGTTTTCCCAAATAGAATATTTTCGGATGTCAATGCCTGGTGCAAGAGGAAACACTGAGTAAACTCAGAGAACACATAATTAAATCAAAGAGCTGGGAGCCAGGAGATTTGGTTTTCCCACCTCTCACCACATAAGAGATCCTCAGCAAGTTACTTAACCTGCTACTGAGAGTAACTGGGAAGTTAATTCCTGCACTGGGAATGACAGCAGTGCTCCCAGACCACACATGGCCACACCATGTCCTTGAATCTTATTTTCAAGCTGCCTCAAGTCTACACTGCTGCAATGAATGTGTTAAAAATAGCCTGAAATAAATAGGACTGTGCTGCTTAAATTAAATAATAGAGTCAAGAGGAGCAGAAAACTGCTGGAAAACAGTCCTACATTTCAAAATGGCTTTCTGTCCACTATTATTTATCCCTATGCTTCATTTTCACTGCAGTTCCTTACACTCACTTATTTTAAACAGTCCTGCCCTAAACTGGACCTAGAAGCAAGTCTGTGCTTTATTATTCATTCCTTTGTTCCATCTTATTGGATAGGTTTTAGAATTCTGTGCAAATTTGTTCTCTTCATTCCTAATGTAAGCAGCAACTTATCCCCCTCCAGCCCCCTAGCAAGGGAAGTCTGCAAGGGATTTATTTATCATGGATATGAAGCACTTGGAGGCTGATCCTGGACAGTGTGGGGGAGTTCAGCTCTCCTGTCACTCACACGTGTATTCTGGCCAAAGACAAACTGCTAAAAGGGTTTTAATTTCAAACTGACAATGTGCTTTGAGCATAAACTGGAAAAACAACACAAGCTCCTCTAAATTGGGTGTAGGGAACCTCACTTAGAGACTGCAGAAAATAAGGATTAGAACAGACTGTGGCTATGGCACTCTCAGAACCAGAAAGTATTCACTGTGCTCAGGACCAGAAGAAATAAAATACATGGAGAATGGTTGGATTCATTAGATTTGCTGGTACATCTCACCTCTGTATACACCTTCCCTAGAAATCCCTTTAACACAGCTACAGTGAAAGATGGGTTCATTTGAACAAATTTCACTATTCCCACTATATTCAGTTCATAAGTATTCTACTGTATTGTCACATTGTGGACAGTGCTTTTTGCAAGCCTCTATTTCTTTTGCTTCCTATTTTGTGTGAGTCTGCACAGTTTTTAAAACAAGAGAAAACAAACCACAGATAGATAAATCCACAAAATGCACTGCAGCCTGATTCCCCCTGAAAGGGAGCCAGCTCTGGAGCAGACAGCGATTACAGACCTGCCCTTTCCAGTCACTGCCATGCAGGAGGAGTGGCTCCAGCCCTTCCCTGGAGCTCCTACAGTCACACAGGAGAGCTCTGAGGACAGAATCACAGAACCATGGGATGGTTTTGGTTGGAAGGAACCTTAAAGCTCATCTTGTTCCACCCCCTGCCATGGGCAAGGACACTTCCCACCATGCCAGGTGGCTCCAAGCCCTGTCCAACCTTGCCTTGGATACTTCTAGGATAAGGCAGCCCCAGCTTCTCTGGGCACCCTGTGCCAGAGCCTCCTCACCCTCACAGGGAGGAACTTCTTTCTAATGCCCACCCTCCTTCAGGTTAAGGCCATTGCCACTTGTTCTGTCATTCCTCATCTAAAGACCCTCCCCAGCTCTCCTGGAGCCCTTTAGACCCTGGAAGGGGCTCTGAAGTCTCCCTGGAGCCTTCTCCTCTCCAGGTGAGCATCTCCAGCTCTCCCAGCCTGGCTCCAGAGCAGAGGGGCTCCAGCCCCTGGAGCATTTCTGTGGTCTCCTCTGGATTCACTCCAGGAGTTCCACATGTTTCTGACACTGGTGTGCCCACAGCTGAAGGGAGTTCTGCAGGTGGGGAATGACCTGAGCAGGACAGAAGGGAAGAATTCCAGCCCCACGAGCTGCCCACACCATGAGATGAGTCCAGGACAAGGCATCTGTGCAAATTCATCAGGGGCTCCTAAAGAACCTCTGAGTGATACCTGCATGTAAGTGGAACCAGAAGCACCCAAGAGATCCCTATTTGTGATGCACCTACAGAGCTGAGCCAAAAACCAGGACAGCCACACCCTGTGCCCATGGAGGTCTCCCAGAGGCCATGGTGCACATGCCAGGAATGGGACTAGAGCCCAGCCCATGGCAGTACTGACAGGACACTCGTCACACAGGACATGCTCTGACTTTCCAACCTCTGCTTGTCGAACTAAAGGTTCCCCTCCTGCTCTCCCCCCAGCCCACGGGAGAAGCCAGCGATTCCTGGGAAACCCTGTGCCTGCCAGGCTCCCCAGGAGAAACAAGCACATGTCCTTGTTAGAGGCAGCAGATGAGATCCTCACTAACCATTCCAACAGGGCATCTTTAGAGCAGTGCCAAGCCCATGGCACAACGGTCCAAGACAGGATGTTAAGCATAAGCTCCATGATTGGAACTGCAGGGGAAATTTAAAGCAGCAAGATGCAATTAGCCATGGTGGAATTCAGCTCCATGCTGAGGCTGCCACTGCTCTGCAATGAAAGGGCTGAGCAGGTCTGAGCTCTCTGCTGTAATTCCAGGGATCTGCAGCACAGGGTCTGGGCACACCCCCACTTACCTCTTCCCTGAACACAGATGCTTGCTCTTTGCAGCCAGGTAAACGCTGGATAAAACTCACCACCTGCAATTGCATGTAGGAGAAAGGAAACACAGACAACTAAAATGAGACATCATCAAGAAAAAACCCTCTAATTTCTGTATGAGAATTCCCTATGCAAGAATTTTTAAAACTTAAATAGTCAAAACTCTCACATTAATGAAGGATATAGATGGAAAACATTGCTGGGTTGTTGCTGCAACTCCTCTGCATATTTTGGTTACCACCAATAACTGCCCCTATTGCCCTTTGACCATTTCTCTCCCTGTAAGAATCCAGCTTTTTCACTCTTCTAGAAGGTTCTCACAGAAATCAACATTATTTTTCCAGATAAAAAGCTATATATGGCTTAGACTACTTTAAATTCACTCACAACTCCACTTTCTCTAAAGTACTGTTGGAAAGTAAAACAAACATGAAAAAAGGATTTAGACAGTTTCCCAAGATGACATGCCTCTAAGAGACAAGATAAACCAACTGAATGAGCACTGCTGGTTTACCAACATGCAAAGGCAGAAGAGCTAGAAAGGAAGATGGAAGGCAGAAGAGAAGGAAAGGAATTTTGGTTTAATTTAATCTGTGCTGGGTGCACAGGAACCAAGAGGATTAAACAAATAAAAGTTAATTTTACATTTCACATTCGGAAAAACCTTTCTAGGCAAGGAATCTGTTAACATTTGGAATAATCTCCCTGGACTCATGCAAGCAGCCCTGGGGTTACATTATATAACACCAAGGAGTGTGAGGAGTAGCCCTGTGTGCAGTCGAGGATGACTTAATGTGCATTGTCTTCTCCAGCTGCAGCTTGACTGGTTCACAGGAGATTTGTATATTGAGGCATAATCAGATCAAGCATCTCCTGTTAATTGGATGCTCCCTTGCAGGAGCAGCTCTGCTTCATGAGGTGTAACCATGTGAGTTGTTGCAGATGTGACATTTCTTCCCTCTACACAAACAAGCAGCTGGGAGGGGTCACTGTCAGATTCAGGCTCCTTTCAACTCAAAATTGTCAAAGTCTCTCCTTAATCACATCCATGTACCTCCAGATCATCCTACCCCTAGACTTGTAGTCAATCCCTCCCCTGCAGTTCCAGCCAGGCAGGAACGGGGCTCTCAGAGTGCCCTCCAGGTTCGCTCTGCCCTGGCAGAAGCAGCTCTGACTCCTGTGGTTTCTGTTATGTAACCTGAAAGCAGAGCATCCCTCTCCTTCATCTTCCTCTTCTGCTCCATCTTAAAGGCAAACCCTAAAATCCACATCTCTGTTGGACAGTGACTCCAAATTTTCTTCTGCAGAAGTGTAAACTCCTATTAATAATCAATACCAAAACACTACTTTCCTTTTGAGTCCCCCTGTCTGCTAATAATTAAAACATAAATGAAAATCTTTCTGCCAGGTCTGGCTCCTTCAAGAATTTACAAGACAGTTGGACCCTTGGGGCAAGAGCTGAGTGCTCTTCAGTGTCTGTGGCACTGAGAGGCTGGAAGACATCTCCAGGGAATGAATAACCTGGGCTTGGCTTGTTCCTGCATCCTTCCCTGCACAACTGCTGCTGGCTACTGTCACTGACATGGAGTGACAGACCTTTGATCTGCCCCAAGTCCTTTGTAGGGACACTGCAAGCTCCCTGTGCCACTGGAGAGGCCTCTTGAGCAAACAGCAGCCCTGGGGTTTACCAGGAATGGAGAAAAGAGAGGGAAGAAAGATGCAAGAGGAGAAAATGGGAGAGGTCCCCTGGACATGAGACAGACCCCACTGAGCCACAGGGACTTGCCTGGCTGTCACTGCTGGGGAGGAGGGTTCCCAAACCAAGACAGGGCAGTTGAGGGAGGCTTGGGAGCATAAGAACAAAACACCACAGGAATCCAACACAACCCCACAATACTGGCAGGGAAGCCTTGAACCCTGAGAAAGGCTGAGACAGGGAGGGCTCAAAGTGAGGGTGGGACAGGTGTTGGACAGGGAACATCTCAGTGGGATCAGAGCTTTTCTATAAGAAGGTAAAAGTCTGCTGGCCCTTCCTGCTGTAACCATCCCATGGCTCAGAACTGCCTGCTGGAAACTCTTACACTCCCCAAGCACATGGGTGAAGGGAAAGGGCTTGAAAAAGAGCTTTGTGCAATCCTGAGAACACCCTGGAAACTGGAAGGGTGGAAAAGACCACCCTTCTGGAAGGTGCTGATGTGTGGCAGACACACTGAGATCAGCACTGGATTGATGGCCTCTGGTGACAAGGCAGCCCCACACCACACTCCAACAGCTACTGCAGCACTGGCCCCTCTGAGGCCACAGAGAGGAGCTGGGTTAACTGGGATCTAGAAATCCACTCACACTTGGCACAAGGACAGTCCCCCCACCTGGGGCATTGGCATTTGAAGCAGGATTAACTAATGAACAATACAACTCTAGCACATCTTAATGTTCTTCTATGAGTCAATAGTCTGTGCTCTGAAAACATGACAGGAAGCTTTCAATAAATACCAAAGCTGCATTAAAGTAACTACTCTTAGTGGCTGCTCAGTGTTACCACGACTTTCTTAGCTTGAGGGCCCCTAAATGCTGCTACTGCTCTGCCATTTCAGCTGCTCCCAACCAACAGAGAATTAAAGGAATGTTTTTTTCCTTAATGTGGGTTTTATAAAATAAAAACAGTTCTTCAGCCTGAAATCAAAGGAGAATTTTACACCCCCATCGCTCCTGTTTCAGATCAGCACAGGATTCCTTTGGACTCCTTCAGGACTCCTTTGTGCAGCAGAGTTCAAAGCACAACCCAACAGCAAATGTTTGCCCCGCAGGAAGATGTTGGGAGCCCAAATGCCAACAGACCAAATGTACTTTGGACACCCTAAAACACAGCAAGCGCTGCTGCTTTCAACTCCCAGATCTGTGGCTACATTGCACTGCACATGCTGATCCTGCAAGTGCTCAGAGAGAACCCAAATTGATTCCTCTGGGAATTTGTGATGAACATAATTTAAACCAGACGCACTTTACTGAAATTCAAGATAAAACCTGTAATGACTTCAGCCAGTACATTGTGGTGCTGCAACTGAGCTTTTTAATGTGCCATTCACACTGCTACTGGCAGCCAAAAGTTCCCCAGTTGTTTCAGGCTGCAGCAGGGTTCAGTTTATTCTGGGTTTGAATCACTATATCCAGTGCCCTGCAACCATGTCTGTGGTCCCTGCTCACACTCATCTGTTATCAAACTAATATCCCAGTTAAATTTACTCAGCAGTTGCTTTAAAGGTCAACTGCAAAGGACAAATTTTATTTGGCTTGGATCCTGACACTGTACTCCCATGAAGCGGCCTCCTGTTTTATCCAAAAGAAAGAGATTTTGATTATCATGTCAGAGGATTATCTGCTTCTGACTTTATATATTTCATAAAAGACCTTTTGGAAAATCATTGGAAGCTTTCTCAAAAGGACAGGAACAGTAAATCTTTCAGAGATTTTTTTTCCTCCAGAGTATGAATTTAATTCTAAGACATTTTTATTGAAAAGAGCAAAAAAACACAACCAAAACCCAACACTACCACCAAACCACAACAACTCAACACAAAAAAGGACCAGGCTTTAAAACATCAGCACTAATTGCTCTGTCCCTTTTCCAGCTGCTGTGGTTCCCATCTTCCACATCACTGCAAATCCCACCAGACTCCTACCACTCCTCCAGCATGAAGAGCAAAGTCAAGATAGGATTTATTTGATGTTAAGAGGCACTTAGGGAAAATGCACTTTCTAAAAGTCTCTGAAGATCCTCTCTGCATCATGAGCAGCAGTACCTTTTTCCTGCTTTGCAGATTCTCTGCATCCTTGCAAGCACAACTCTACAGCACACTTCTCTGGAATTAAATGCCCTGCAATTAAGCACCAGGATCCAAATTATAACCATTTCCCGAGCACAGAGAGAAATATTATTTATGCCCAAGGCATCGAGGCAAAAACCAACTACTCAGCACACAAAACACTCTGGCTTTTTCACACACCACCTAATTACAGGAGACATCTCAAGAGCTGCAGAGACACATCTCCAGCTGCACAGCTACCTCTGCCAGAAATCAGGTCAGGCTGTGGGCAGTTTTGTTCCCAGGGAATCAGGCAGGGAGATGCAGCAGGAGTGGGCATGCACAGTGCAGTCTGGAATTATCTGCACTGTAAAAGTGAATCAGCAGCAAAGTCACAGGAGAGGGGGAGGGAGATCAGAGAAAGGGAATCTGCTGTCAGAATGATGCTTCAGGCCCGAGGACTGAGAAATCGAGGGGCAAATAAACAGAGGGAGAGAGGGAGGGAGGAAATCCTTTTGAGGGCAATAAGCTGTGGATACCATAGGGTTAACAGGGGTCCTTCCCCTCCCTGATAAAGGGTCTTGGGTTTAATTTCCAGCTGAGTCAGCTGTGGCACATGCACAGCAAACACAAGAGCACTGCCTGGGAGAGGGGAAGGAAATAAAGATGTCTCCCAATAAGCACTCCAGAGGAAGAGTGCTCTGGCATTCCTGCATCCCGGGAGAGTGGGGCAGGGAACAGGTAACTCACCTCCTCCACAGTCCATTTGGCAACTTGTTTGGCTGTCAGGCCTGAGACCTCCGGCAAGAGCCTGCAGTGCTGCTCCCAGAAGAGATGGAGGCGATGGGTCGGGTTAGAGGCCAGGGAAGGCATGAAGATGGACTGGTGGAGGGCCTGCTGGAGATCCAAATCAGGGCCTGAAAAAGGAAACAAGATAAGTCAGAGACAGGCTTCAAGTAGGAGCAACTACATCAAAGCAGGAAGAAAGGTCACAGCCTGGAGGGGAAAGCAAGACAGGGTGAGCAGAGCCAGGCACAGCTACTGTGTGGCACACGGAGCTCTCAGGACGTTCTCCCTCTCCCGAGCAGGAGAAAGGGAAAAAACAGTAAGATTGCCAGGCTGGAGGCTTTATCATTAGCTTCTTCCCTGGAAAATGATGTCATGCTGCTAACAGAGAAGATGTTTGCGGCGTTTTATTGACAAGGTGGAGGAATTCTGGTAACAGCATCCTCAGCTGGGAACTGATGGCACCGTTCCAGCCCCAGCTGTAGCCAGAACTCTGTGCTGCCAGCATGCCTGGGCTCACTCCCCAGGAGACTCCTAGGCCAGGAGTGCTCAAGGTACCTCCAGACATCAGCTCCCTCCTCATGTGTCAAGTGAAGCTCTGAAAACCAAGACAAAAAAAGGAGGAAGGAATCACCCCTCCCTAATGAGATCACTGGAGCAGTGCAGAGTCACGGCCCTACAGGGACGTGCTGGTTATACAACAGGAAGCCAGGCAGGGATGGGAACAAGCTGGGAAGTACTCCTCTGGTTTATAGTGGCACAGGGGGGCTACCCCCGACCCCCCCCCCCCCCCCCCCCCCCTGCAGGCTGCCCAGCACCATCCCATGGCATCCCCGAGCATTCCCACTGCATCCCAGCCCTCGGGAAGGCTCCGTGTGCCTGGAGCAGCCACTGCTCTGCTGCCCCTGCTGTTCTGCTGCCCCTGCTGCTCTGCCTCTCTGCTGCCTGTGCTGCTCTGCCTCTCTGCTGCCTCTACTGCCCCTGCTGCTCTGCCTCTCTGCTGCCTGTGCTGCTCCTGCTGCTCTGCCTCTCTGCTGCCTGTGCTGCCCCTGCTGCTCTGCCTCTCTGCTGCCTCTGCTGCTCTGCCTCTCTGCTGCCTGTGCTGCCCCTGCTGCTCTGCCTCTCTGCTGCCTGTGCTGCTCCTGCTGCTCTGCCTCTCTGCTGCCTCTGCTGCCCCTGCTGCTCTGCCTCTCTGCTGCCTCTGCTGCTCTGCCTCTCTGCTGCCTGTGCTGCCCCTGCTGCTCTGCCTCTCTGCTGCCTGTGCTGCCCCTGCTGCTCTGCCTCTCTGCTGCCTGTGCTGCCCCTGCTGCTCTGCCTCTCTGCTGCCTGTGCTGCTCTGCCTCTCTGCTGCCTGTGCTGCCCCTGCTGCTCTGCCTCTCTGCTGCCTGTGCTGCTCCTGCTGCTCTGCCTCTCTGCTGCCTCTGCTGCCCCTGCTGCTCTGCCTCTCTGCTGCCTCTGCTGCTCTGCCTCTCTGCTGCCTCTACTGCCCCTGCTGCTCTGCCTCTCTGCTGCCTGTGCTGCTCTGCCTCTCTGCTGCCTGTGCTGCTCCTGCTGCTCTGCCTCTCTGCTGCCTGTGCTGCCCCTGCTGCTCTGCCTCTCTGCTGCCTGTGCTGCCCCTGCTTCTCTGCCTCTGCTGCCCCTGCTCAGCGGCTCTCAGTGGGCTGGGATGTAGGATGTGGGGGGTAAGCAGTCACTACGTGGAAAGCACAGAGGAAAATGGCAGAAATACAAAGAAAAAAAAGATTCCCAGGGCTTGCCAGCTGCCCCCTAGCTGAAGGGGAAGCAGCTCTGGAGGTAAAGCCTGTCCTAGTGAACAGTCACTCCCCTGGCCCCAGAGCCCACTCAGCTCATCTCATCTCATCTCCACATCCCTATTGGTCATGGGACAGCATCAAATAGCATCAAATTTCTAATAATGAAACCAAGGGAGGATAAATAAAGCCTGAGTAAGAACTGCTCAGTTCAGGAGCTCTGGTGGAGAGAAGGGCACAGGACCTGCTCCTGAGAGGGCTGTTACTCCCTCCTTCCCTGCTGCACTGCTGCAGTGGTGGAGACAGACAGCACCTGGTCTTGTCCCCACCTCCTGCTCCAGGAGGTCCCACTTGTGCCCAAGGTCTCCACCACTGCCACATTCCTGCTGGGTGGGCATTACTTCCATCTCAGACCAATTCGTCTTCTCCACTAAGCACAAATCCTTGGACTAAGCACCCAAACCATGACCTAGACAAGTGACTTTCCCTCTGACAAAGAAGTAGTGATCTCATAGTTTAAACACAGCTGAGAGGAAAGCTCTGGGTAATTGTGAAATTACAGGTCAGTGGATGATTGCATTTCCCTCCCCTGATTTCCATCACTCCATGGAAGGTGAATGTGAAGGGAGAGTGGGCAGCTTTCCCTGCCAGCTGGAACTGCAGCTTGGAGCTAGCAGGTCCCTCAGCTCTGACTGCAGAATTCAGCACTAGGTAAAAATGAGTATTAAAAAAAAAAAAAAAAAAAAAATCAACATCCAGGCACCTGTCCCAGTTTGTGCCTGCTTAGCTATTTTTGATTGGAGACTTATTACCATCTTAAATCCTCCTAAAAGCCTGGTCAGCTCCATTCTCTGAAATGGCTTTTTATAGTAAATCTGAAAGTTAAGCATATGGTTTGCTAAAGTGATAGCAGAAAGCTGCTCTGATAACTTAACCTGTCACATACCAGGAAAAAAACACCACTGTTTTTCCATTTAGCTTTTCATTTTCTTTTTAATCCTTAAGAGAACCTTTAAAAAGTCTTGCAATGATTCAGAATATGTTTCTGAATATCCATGAGGGTCTAAAAAAAGGGGTTGATGGAACTTAAACTATCTGCTAAGTTTTGAGCCAGTCTCCCTTGAGCCCTGTGCTGGCTCTGTAACAGCCTGACAAAGGTCACAGACTGTTTGAGAACCCCTTGTCACTACAGAGGAGTTTGCAGTGCCACAAAAACCATGCAAACTTGTCTTCTCAGTTAATAAATACAAGGCTCCACTCTACAAAGTATTGAATCTTTCACTTCTACGTAATTTTACCCTTTCTCCTCATTTTAAAGGAATTGCCATCATCTCCAGCATGTGCTTTCTCTTGACTGTGGAATCAAAGACAAAAAAATTAGTGAATTCTGAATGCTCCTCGTGACTGTGGGGATATTGCAGAGATAGGCACACAGAAAGAAGGAATAAAACCAACCTTTCCCATTACTTTCCTGTTTCACCAGCTGAAACTTGATATAGGCATGTGAGCACCCGAGCCTGAAAGCAACAATTACAAAACATTTCAGAAGATATAGAAATTAATGTAATTTCTTCTCCATACAAAGATAAATGAGATTTATAGAAATAAAAAACTTTTTCCTTTTAAAATAAGCAATAGCTCCATCCCTGACATCTCTCTGAGCTAAAGGCTGTTCTAATAAATTCATGGCCAGAACACAGATCTGAGTTTACTGCAGGAAAGAGAGGGCCCAAAACAACAGGAGGAAGGGAGGAGATTTACAATGTCATTCTAAAACACTCTGCTGCAAAACTTCAATCAAATTGGGCTGCTTGCTATTTACATCTTTACTTCAGATACAGCAGCAGCATCAAGAAACACAACTGTTAATGCATGAAAATTCATCACAAAAGTCTTGTTTACGTTTTTGGTGTGGCTTTGATGGCTGCAGAGGAATCCTCCTCTCCCCAGCCTCTCTCCCGACTGTCTTCTGATTGCTCTGATTGAGCGTGGATGCTGCTTTGACACCACTTTTCACTGTCTGGTGCAGATTTTCTGGAAAGACAGATAAATGACAATAGCTGAGCTGACATTCTCTGTTCCCTTTTCCCACAGGAGAGCAAAGCTGGCTGCTCCTAGCAAGTGAGAGCAACAACCACCACCTTGTGGCAGAACTTTCCTCTTCCCTCCATGAGTACAAAGTGTTTTGTTCCTCTTCTGTAAGGACTGAGAGAGTTTAAGCTAAATAAATCAGGCCCTGTGGACTCAGGCTCTGATCCCAGCAGCTACAGGAAACCACTGTGTTATGGTGAAAGCAAGAAATTTAGCATTTCTGAATCTTGATACCTCTGGATAACATTTAAGAGTTTCCATTACTAAGTCTGATGCATAAACCGAGCTACAGAGTTGGCCAAGGGACGGCAAGCAGCAGGATGATATCAGACTTACAGGCTAAATTCAGACATCCCACTATCAGGAAATGAAATACTTAGAAATATATTACAATTCTAAAATGCCATTAATTCTGTGAGAATTCAAAATCTCCTGAGAGCTTTATGGTAAGAGTGCTATTGAAATGCAACTAATTTTGGTGTGGAAATTAGGGAATGAAGATACCTGCATAGTTGTAGCATGGGAGGAAGCAATTTAGCCATGAAGGCTAGGGAAGAGAAAGAAGCATTCATTCCTTTTTTCTGGACAAACAGATCTTGAAAATGTTATAAATCTAAACAAAAAGATGAACTTTAAAATATAGATAAGCCTTCACATACAACAAAAAATTAAAGTATTGCTGGAGTTTGCCCTAGTGAGACTGGATTTGTGAAGACTAAAAAAGGATCTTAAAAAATCCTTCATATCGTGGTCCATCCCATGACAGGTTTAACTGACTCCTGCACTCCAAGAACCAAGGCACAGTTTCCTTTCCACAACGCTGCTCAGTTGCAAGATTTTCTTGTGAGAAAACAAAGTATCTGAGAGTGCTCAGCTTGTCTGCTGCTAAGTGATACACATAGAGTGCTCAGCCGACCCAGAGTGGATCACTGTTACAGTTTAATAGCGCAAAATAATCTTGGCTTGACAGTTTTAGGACAGGAAACAAAGGACAAGAACGTATTTTAAATTGAAACAGCAAAGAAAAATTTATGGAGACAAAATGCAATTTCCTTTGTTGGAATGTGACCAGAGCACCAGGATTAAAGAATCAAGAAACTTATTAAGGCATATGAGGGTATAGAAGTGCACTGCTCTGTGTTAAGAGTGACTGGGGCACACATCAATATTACAGACAGATGAACTCAGTGCTCTGCTGTGTCGCTGCCAATTCCAGTGGTTTTCATCCTTGTAAATGGTTTTGCTCCCCAGTACCTGGCCAAGAGCAAAATCCAGCTCACCTGGATTGGGAAGAGTCGCCCTGAGAAGACTCCCCTGCTCCCAGCAATGGGCCAGGGGTCTCCAGCCTCCTGGCTTTCTGCATGATGTTCCCAGGGGAAGGTCTCTCCCCACTCAGCCGGTCCTGTAAGAGGTTTTCTCTGCTGAGGTTCACATCAGAGTATGGGCAGCCAACTAAGCTGTGATGGAGAAACCAAAAAGAGAGAGAGGACAATGAAAGCTTTACAGTCATACAGTCTTCCCTACCTCAGGAAGAGAAATCCATCACAAACCCAGAAAAAAGGAGGCCATCTCAGGAGATGCTGTTACCCAGCTCTAGGTGTGAGAAAGCAGGGGACCATATGGCAGAATTAAAACCCAAAGTCATGTTGTTAAAGAGCCACCAGAGAGGACAAGAATTCATCCTCTGAAACTTGCTTATTGGAACAACATTTCATGAATCAACAGTTCTGCAACTTTCAGTCTGAAAAATTCAAAGCCCTTTGCTGTACTATAAACTATCAGGTCTTCTGACCTTCCACCTGAGATTGTTTCCTTGCTCTTAAAATAATTTACTTGAGAAAAAGCTTCCTCTTCCAAGAGCAGACAAGAAATCAAAAGGCAGAGCACAAAACATAAGCAACCTCTCCTCACTTATACTTTAACATCCTTCCCCTGCCCTCTCTTCTTTAACTGTCTCCTTGCATATTGTTCTTGGGTATATTATTTCACAAATATAACTCCTTCAGTACTGCTAGAATGTAGAATCTGGAGTGAATGAATCTGTTTGCAATGCAGCTATCATGATTATAGTGGTATAAACAAAATTTACGATCAAACAGCCTGCTTAGACACAAGAGGGAGCTGCGATTGCAGTTATAGCTATTTCCAGAATAACTACCCTGAGAGATCATTTCAGTGCAATGCAGTTGCTTGGTGCTGCATCATTATAATTATTATTGTTGTTGTAGTGGTTGTAGCTGCTGTTATTGTCATTAAGAGCACTCATCCACATACGTGTAATGTGTTCCATAGCGGGGGCCCCGGACGTGCCCGATCCCCTGGCAGCCTGGAGTAGGACACGCCTGTCCCACTGCTCCCTCTGGATCTTCAGCACCTGAGAGCAGCAAAAAAAAGGGAAGATAAACAGATTTGCACACGAGGAGCACACTGCACTTAGGAAATTATCCAGCATAACAAAAGTGTGTGCTGTATTTACCTAGAGGAACTTGCAGAGCGTGTCCAGTTTTGTCACACCAGCCTACAGGATGGATGTCAGGGCTGTCTGCATCCACCCAGAAATCGTAGTGATGGTCCCAGCCATCAAAATGTATCTGAAAGAAGCAGAAGTCTCAGGGAAAGACACAGTTCAGGGCATGACTCAGCTCTTATGTTAACTTCCCCCTTTGTTTAACCTTGCTCAGCTTGGGGCTGATTCATTCAATCCTTCAGATCAATTTTTCAGTCAGGCGCAATCATCTCTGTGCTCAGTCTAACTCTTTGTTTTCCTGCATCTGTGTTTCACAGAATAACCAGGTTCTGGTGACACAGTCTGTCACCCCACAGCCCGTGGGATGCTCTAACATGCAAAGTCCAAAGCTATGCAAACACAAATGCTTATCTGTTTTGTTTTCTGGGAATCCCAAAATACCATAAAAGCCAACAAGTTTGGTGAGTTTTGCAGTGAACAAGCTGCAATTTTCTGCTGGATGAAGAGAGTAGCTGAGATCCAGGCCAGGTTAACAGACACTAAGGATCACTGGAGTTTAAAGGCTACTGGGCTGTTCATGCAGGAAGGTTTCAATGTATGAATTGAGTATCTTGCCACTATGGACTGGCAAAGCTTGGCTTTTGTTCACAGCAATGAGACTCAAAACCAGACAGATAATGGGGAGTGAACTCCACTCCTGCCCATGTAATCATCCTTTAGGAAGGAGATCTGTGGCCATGGAGTCTCCATCAGTGTAGCCTCCACTTTAGCTGGCTCATACTTAGTTTCTCAGAAGCCAAAGCACAACAGATTATTTGGGCAATATACTTTCATGAAAAGACTAGGTTAAAATGCATTTATGTGACAAATTTGTGCTGGAGAATGATGCCGCTTCCCACATGTAGCAGAGTTTAATTTGCTTTGGGTTTCCCTTTCCTGGTAGGAAAAAACTGCAGTCAGGCAGCTTCCCCAGCAGAACACTCCTGCTGCCATCAGTCACAGAGATCACAGGGAATATGCCAAGAGATGGGACATCACACTGTCAAGTGTTAGTTCAAAACGGTTATGTTAGAACAGTAACTAACACCAGGCCAATTCCATCAGATTTCAGCAAAACAAAGCAACAGGAACCAATTCCAGCCGGGTAGGCCCAGAGGCCACAGCAGCTGCCAAGCTGTTGTTTGCTGCTCCTTGTTCCCAAGTGTTGTTTTCCCTGCGCTGCCCATCCCAGGGTTCTCAGCCCAGGCTCTGCACTTGGGAGCAAGGTCATACCTTAACACGATGGTTGTCTTTGTCAATGATTGTTGCCACTCTTATCAAGATGGGATTTCGTCTGTCCACAGCCTCTAACTTCGTATTAACCTGGAATCCGTGAGGAGGACGCTGCAAGAGAGGATTGTAAGCAGAATGTTAAAAAGCCTTGGAGTTCAGAGCTGGCACCTGCTCTGAATGAAATGTGCTCCAGTTTCCATCCACCCCTAGCTGCTTTTGGAGCTTTGGGTTATCTCACATGGCAGACTGTTCAGAGGCTAAAATCAGAGTTCCCAAGAGGTTAAAATCAGAGTTCCCAAGAGAACTTAGCTGAGTGTTTGTCAGCAGCCCCAAGCTGCTGGAGAGGCAGCCTGAGGTGGCTCAGCACAGAGGAGCTGTCCAAGCCAGAACAAGAGACCCTTCCCTCACAGACAGAAGGCCAGGGACCACCACAAGTGGCTCCACTGACATGGCCTCCCCAGGCTGACAGCACACCTCCCACACAGCGGGGACATGGTCTTCTCTAGAAGAGGAGACTGAGAAGGGAGAGATCTCAGCAGTCCATATGAGTATCTCCAGGGGAAGTGCCACACTGTCAGTGTCAGGATGGTGCCAAACTCTCCAGCAGGGCCCAGTGACAGGAAAAGCAGCAATGGCCCTGAAATAAAAACACTAAAACCTCAACATGAGGAAGAACTTTTCATGGAGGCTAGCAGAGCACTGGAACAGCTGGCCAGGGAGGGTGTGGAGTCTCCCTCTCTGGTGACATTCCAAACCCACCTGGATGCAAAATTCCAAACCCACCTGTGTCACTTGCTCCAGGAGACTCTGCCTTGGCAGGGGGTTGGAATGGATGACCTCCAGCCTCTCTTCCAACCTGACTACTCTGTGATGTCACACCAGCCAGAGAGTGGCCAGTTCTCCACTTTTCACATCTGAACACACCATTGGGTGAAGCCTCTCTTCACTACCCTACATCCTCCCTGGCTGGCATCAGCTACAGCTCCTGGCTATCAGTTATCCTCATTACACAGATTACTCCTTATGACAACACCTGTGCTGCTCATGAACAACTGCTGGGAGCTGCTGTGCTGGGGCTCACAGCAGCTCTGGCCCTGGAGCCTCCTCTGCAAATGTTCACTCACCCTTTTCCTCAAACCCTGAAGACTTTGGGAAAACTCCAGAATGTTCTTTGACCCGATGTGTGCACCCTATGTAACCTCTAAGCAATAGACAGCTTTTACCAATTTTTCCATTTATCTGACTGCAAATTCCTCCTCTGACCTCCTCAGCAGGAGGTTATGGATGCTCATTCAAAACATGTCTCTCTTCACTTCTGCACACAGAGGTGAGGGTTTTAGCAAGAAATTATAAATTGTCTATTTGAACATGACCAAGTTAATGAAATTATTAAAATCACTCTTCCCTCCCAGTCTTCCTTACCCTTGTTATCACCGGTGGCTGGGGGCAGGAAGGAGATGCACTACTGAGCTAAGGGGTTTAACTCCACACCTGAGGCTGCTCTTTGGCCATTTCACCTGGACACAGACATCTATCAGACACTGGACACACCACAAAACAGACAATCTAAACTGCTTTTATTTTCAAGAGCATCTTATTGAACCAGCCAACCTTGTCTGTCCTCCCTAAAGAAGGGCTGAGTGCTCAAGGTCCAAATCCTGCCCAGAAGAGGAGCCAGGCTCTTTGCTTAAGCCTTGCTGAAGGGTTGCTGTCCTTTTGGCAATCGTTTATGAATGTTTTGAAATTGCCAGCCCAAGAGGATGGGCTGAAATAACAATGCTTACATTGGAGCTGTCTCCTGAGGTTTTGGGTGGAGAGGGCAGAAATCCAGACCCAAGACCTGCTATTTGTGCTGATGACCCGTGTCTCCAGACTACATAAGACAGCTCTTTAAAATTGTTAAAAGCTAATTCAGTGAGAAATGCCTGTTCTGGCTCTCAACCCACATTTTTATGTACTGATTTCCTGTAATTGCTAGCTGGAATAATAATAATTATTTTTAAAAAATCAATAGCTTTGCCATTTATTTGCACTTCAATCCAACCAAGCCAGAAAAAAATAACGAGGTTTGATCTTGAAAGAGTCCTACTAACTGCTGATATATCAAATACCTTTTCTTTTTTGTCTCATTTTTGAAACACAGTTTTAGATGCTAATTTGCACTCTGGAGTTTCATGAGGGCCAGAATTGGTCTTCCTACTCTTCTCCCAAAGCCTGATACCTGAAGGAGCAGAACAGTGGCTGCAGAAATGTCTGGAAAACAGAAAAGAAGGCAGACAAGGCAGCTGCATCCCACTTGGGAAGACACTTCACTTTGGAAGAATCCAAAGAAGGGAGTTCTCAGTACTGAACAGGCTCCCTGTCCTGAGCAAAGCCTCTTATGTTCAGATATCTCTCACCACACTTCAGACCCTGAAAATCTGAGGGAAGAAGCCACAATGGTAGATCTTACAGTGGACTTGGGCTGGGCATTTTAAGTTCACATTTTCCAGCTCTATTGGGATTTCAAAAAAGCTTAGTCCATCCTTGGGGGCAACAACTGTGTCCCACTGACAGGCTCCACTCCTCATCCTGCCCCTGGCTCCAAGGTGCTTCCCAGCCATGGGAAACCTCAATCCCAGGGATGTTTTGGATGTGCTGCAGATAACTCCAGTTAAAGCCCTACTGTTCTCTGAAGAGGCCAAAATTTCTTCCACCTCCCTGACACCACTCTGCAGCCTGCACCAACCTCATGTGGACACCTGCTGAAATCTGGCAATTATCAAACCTGTCTGGCTGAATTTTCGCCTCTCTTATCTGAGGCCTCCCTGATTGCTTTTCCTCCTCAGTCCCAAAGACCTTTCCACAAAAATACACAGGAGGGCAGTAGGTACTAACCTGCAACTCCCACTTCAGGAAAAGGAACCAAGACAAATGTCATGATGGCAAAGAAGAGTTTTTAAACATATTGCAAAGTTTAGGAAAGTGAGCCAGCAGAGTGGAAGGGAAAAAATCAAATTAAAAGTACAGTCATTTTAGAGGCTTTTGGTTTGTTTCTGCTCACAGTGAGATTCCAGATAAACACACTGAACTGCAATGAAAGAAACAAAAGCTCACTGTCTCAAGGTTGAGAGAAGCACCTTCACACTGAGTCTGCAAGATGGTCTTAGGGGCTTGGCAGAGATGCTCTTTCATCTGTTAATACATTTATTTCTGTGGAGGGCACAGCTGGCTCCTCCCCAGAAGGACCACGATCTGTATCAGCACACGTAAATCCTTGATATGAACTTCTCTTCCTTAATTCCAGCCTCACCAGCCAGGGAAGTACAGATTTGCACAACTGCAAGGTGAATTTTAGAAAGGTTTTTAAAACTTCATGTGGAGGGGACAGCAGATAACTGCATTCTTTCTGTGCCTCTATCAGGCACTTCCCACATACCTCTGGAAGCCACTGTGGACTGAAGGCTCTGCCTTAAATCTGCTAATGGAGCCACTGAAGACACTTAGTCAAAAATCCTTTCCAAGCCAGCCTTCCATAGTATTAAAAAACAAAAAAATCTTGTATTTTGCTGTGTGTTTTTGTTTTAGCTGCATTGAGATGATCTTTAACTCAAAAGTAAACCACAGTTTCACCTTCCTCGCACAGATAAGGTGAACTATGCTCAAATAAAGCGTCTAACAAAAAAGGATGGATAACAGCACCTGAGCAAGAGCAACCAAAGACATTCACCTACCAGTTTAAAGGCTCTTGCAGGAGCTGCTTGGGAATTAGTTTCTTCCAAGTACTTCTCCCATGAGAAGGCTTTGGAATCCCTGTGTCCTGAAAAAACAGAGAATAAACATTTCTGTAAGAAAAACTCCACATTTACTGTTACAAACAGCAAAAAGGCAGTTCTGTGACACTGTAATGATCACTTACAATGGATGGTGCTGTAAAGTGGCCTGTTTGCTCCTACCCACCATCTTCAGCACCCAGAGCAGCTCTGCCAGTTCCCCAGTTTTACATTGAGCTTGAACCCTGGCGAGTTCACTTCTGCACAGCTTAATCAATTCTTATGCTCTAAAGAAAACTCCAGTTGTGAGCTAGTCAGATGATTCTGTGATGTCCAATGGCATAACCAAGTTAATTTCCTGTTTTATGAACTACTCTATGTGTGAGCACCTGTTAGACTGCAGAACCGTCTCCTCTCCTGCTGCCCGCTCACCCAGGCTCAGTAAACCCAGCAGCCTGGAGAGAAAAAGCTCCACGGGTGTGCTGCTCTAACAACAGTGTCATGTCTCTCGCGGGCAATTGCATTTAAGAAACTGCTCCACGTTTTTCCTGTTTCAGTAATGTTTACCCCCAGGACAGGATCTTTTTGGCAGGAGGGTGCAGTGACTAAATGCAGAGCACAGTCTGAAAACTACTGCATTAAGTCTTTCAGCAGAGAGACTAGAACTGGCTGCAGGTTTTGTGGGGGCACAGGAAATCCTGATATGAGCAGAGAACTGTAGAGCCCAGCCCTGCTGAACCTTCCAGGAGCAGGGACAGATGAGGTGCTGCTGAGAGGGAATGTTCACAACCCCTTGTACATCTGCAGGGAAGACACTGAGGCCAATTCCCCCCATGCAGAGGGATTGGGCAGTGCTTCCTGCTCCACTGAACCTGGAACACAGCAACTACAGGAATTCTTGCTCCAGGGCTGTCAGTCTGACAAATGTCAGGCTTAATTTTTTTATGTTTGCTATTCTTAAGCTGAATGAGCACTTCCAAGGCCTGAAAACAACACTGGTTTCCCTGTACGCTCTGTCCTCTCTTATTTGCCAACATTCTCTTCATTTACCAAATTCCGGTACAGCAGAAAGAGATGTGGATTCAGTTACTCCTTCATTTGCAAAAATTCCATCTAGGAAATCATTAGAGCATGGTGCTAAAAATGGCAAGGCCATAGTTCAATGCCTGTATGGGCCATTCATTTAAGGGTTGGACTCAATGATTCTTATGGGTCCTCCCAACCCAGAGTATTCTGTGACTTCAGAAATTCCATCTAGGAAATCATGGTACAGATTCCTTTTTCTCCCAGCTCACCCTGAAGGAAATGCTGGAAATCCTTCTCACTTTCTCCCTTCTAAAATCAAATTCAATTATGAATTACCAAACCCTGTTCCATTTTGTCCTAGCTCGCAAGATGTGGCTGGGTTTGTGTGTCCAATCCCCACCTGTCAGAGCTGGGGCAGTTCTCTGCTGTGCTTGGGGCAGTTTTCTTGATCTCTGCCCCAGCCAATCCTCCCTGCAGGAGATCTCTGCTGTCCATGGCCACTGAGTGTCCCTGCAGGGCTGATCCAATTCCAGCATCCCATGGGGAGATGCTGCATTGCCCAGGGCAGGAGCCAAGCATTCCTACCTGGATCCAATGGGAGCCTGGCACAGCCCAGCAGCCTTTGCCCAGGGCATTGCCAGAGGAGCAGCTTCTGCTGCCCTGCATGGCCAGAGGGAGCCCAGGCCCATCTGCAGCAGCCCTGGAGCTGCAGAGGAAAACTCCCCCCTTGTGCAGGATCCCTGCTCCAGCAGAAGCACAGCTGGCACTGCAGGAGGGCTGAGCCCCCATGGGATGGGGCTGTGCCACCCCCCTGACCCACAGGGGGTCAGCTCTGTTCTGACTCTGGCAGTCTTGTTTTGTATTACTGCATTTTTATTTTTATATTTTCTTTTATTTTTATTTTTTCCTAATAAAGAACTGTTACTCGTATTCCCATATCTTTGCCTCAGAGTCCTTTAATTTCAAAATTACAATAGGAGGGGGGTGGTTTACATTTTTAATTTCAAGGGATACTCCTGCCTTCCTTAGCAGACATCTGTCTTTTCAAACCGAGACAGATTTCTTCAATGAACTATGAAACAACATAAATTGCAGTGGCAAAAAGTAGGAACAACAATATTGTTCAGGCAGTAAAGAGTTCTGAAGCGAACCTGGAACTTGCAAATATGTAATTATGTGAGAGATATAGTTTGCAGGCTTTTTGGCTGAGGCAGAAAATAAGTCTCACTCGCAACCTACCAGGTGGTGTTGTCAGTGGGGTTCCAGTTTCTTGGCAGTAGCCAACAGGACGGATATATGGGCTGCTCGTTTCACACCTGTACCAAAGAGAGAAAGTTGGCACCAGTCACATGGAAAGCAAAAAGAAAGGCAGGATTTCAAATGCTGTCTGATAGGCCTTTGCTGGATGAGCAGATGCTTTCAGTGGGTGTGATCACGGTGTAGAAGACAAGCACTGCCTCGTTAGAATGTGTAACACTGGGTTTTCAAGGCATTCAAGCTGTCCCAAAAGAAAGGGAAATACAAAGCAAATCTTGAAATGGTTTGGTTGGAAGGGACCTTAAAGCCCATCCTATTCTACCCCTGCCATGGCAGGGACACCTCCCACTGTCCCAGGCTGCTCCAAGCCCTGTCCAGCCTGGCCTTGGACACTTCCAGGGATCCAGGGGCAGCCACAGCTGCTCTGGGCACCCTGTGCCAGGGCCTGCCCACCCTCCCAGGGAACAATTCCTGCCCAATATCCCATCCATCCCTGCCCTCTGGCAGTGGGAATCCATTCCCTGTGTCCTGTCCCTCCATCCACTGTCCAAAGACCATCTCCAGCTCTCCTGGAGCCCCTTCAGGCATCACAAGTTTTCTTACCTCCAGTGCTTCCCAGACAGCTCAGGCAACCCCCACTGGGTTCTGCACTGAGCTGCCCAGCACACAAACGGGAAGGGAACTACCAGGCAACTGTCTCTTTGTGAAAACCCCAAGTAATTATTCAGATGCCTGAAAACTGATATAAGATCCCAACTTCAGGGCCTGCATGTAAAACAAAGTCAGTCTACCTTCAGACATGTATCAGAAATAGAGTCTTTTACCAGTAGTCGTAGCTCTCATCCCAGTTATCGAAATGGATCAGCAGCCGGTTTTCCACCATGTCTGTGATGGTGGCGACACAAACCATGGATGGGTTCTTCTTGTCCACTGCCTCCAGTTTCATTCCCAGACGAAACCCAGAAGGTGTGACAGGCTGAGGAACAGGACACCAGGAAAGAGAAATCAGCCACATTCTTGATCAAGCCATTGAAATCCCCATTATAAACTCCTTTGATCCCAAAACCCACAGAACAAAACACGCTACAGTGACTATCAAGATGTTTGCAGACAGGATTTTCCATGAGTTCTGGCAATGACTATTACTAAAAAAGAGCTAATGTGGCTCAAAAAAAAGAATTTCCAGGTACACTGACCACTGCAGCCTCCCAGGCTGAGACACCCTGCAGTGATTTGCTGAGGATAATGGGCATTGCACATCCTGTTTTACTGGTGGAAAAGTTAGGAGAGTCTTCAAGGAGACAAAGTGACTGAGTGGGAAGTAGGGCAGAGCTGGGCCCTGATCCTACTGGAGTCAGTGACTGTCCACATGCAGCCTCCAATCCACCAGCCCGTGGGCTTCGTGCCATCCCAGTAATATGGAACAGGATGGAGGATTTCACAGGAACTGAGGTTAACAGACACTGAGAGAGCACCAGTGGGGAAGGATGACAAAAGCTCAAGATCCACAGCCCCATAATGAATCACACGGCACACATGAGCATGCTGCTGGAATCCAGAAATTATTTTGGAAATTATTAAATTACATGAAAGTGACACAAATATCTTGACTGTAGGGGCACAGTAAAACAGACAGTTGTAATGTATTTAATAAACGGTTCAGTAAATCTTTTCCTCCAGCATTAAGGAGGAAGGAAAATACAAATTCTTTCTCTGGAATGTCAGTGACTGGGGAAAGGAAGAAAAATTGTACTAATTTTCCTTCTAAAAAATAAAACACAGCAGGAAGTAGTTTGCATCTGATTGTACCATGGCTGTACCTCTGACATAAGCATATTAAAACCACATAAATATTCTGGTCAAAACTCACTTAGCACCAGACCTATTGAAATCCCTTCTATTCCATATCACCACTTACACTGCTGAGGGTCTTAAAAAGGTTTTTTGGAGCTGCTTGAGCTTTGCAGTTCTTCAGATAGGAAGTCCAATTAAATTCTCCCTCCTTGAAACCTAGGAAGAGAGAAAAAAAGATTGTTTTACATGGCCCTAGTACATTCTGGTGGGTTTTTCAGAAATGGAAATTACCTGGAAAGAATATGAACTTTGCATGAAAACTGCCCTGCTATGATCTCCAGGGGCTGTGCATTTCAGCTAAACCAGCTCTCTCTTATTCACCATAATGTCCAATCATTAATCTCAACCTTCAAATGCTTCTAGAAATTGAATGCAGGAAAGAACTGAACACAGAAAATAAGTATGTTCTGAAGCACAGAGAGACATTCAATCCAGAGTTTCTGCTGTAACTAACAATGTCAGTCTTTAGGAATATCACAGAGAAGATATTTTGCTCTTTTGTGAGTCACTGTGTTAGTTAAACCTCTTCCCTTTAGCCCCTCAGATCAAGTTCCACGATGAAATAACACTAAAAATGAAATATGCAGAGCCAGGACATCTTAGTAGAATTTATGGTTTCTTGTACACCACTCTATTTTCTGTCATACCTTTAGGAGGGAGCAGCTTATGGCTTGTTTTTTCACACCAGCCCACAGGGTGGATGTCTGAGGAATCAGCATTAGCCCAGAAGTCGTAGCACTCTGGGTAACCATCGAAGTGCAGTCGCATCCTGTACCCCTGGACCTACAGTGAGAGAAGATCTGATTATCACCAAGGGTCACAAAGGAGAAAAATAATCACTTATAAAACACTCCCTCATGTTTGCACTTACAGAGAAAGTAACTTAGGATCTCATTTATTTCTCAGAAACTCTAGTTGTATTTTAACTTACTTGCTCTCCCAGTTTCCATGTTCCTCTTTCCCCACTTCAAACAGCTGGAAATAGAACTGGTCAGTGGAACCTCCCTGAGCCCCCGCTCCATGCCATGAACACATTCCTGAGGTACAAAAGCAGCCCCAGAACTTAAATGTCTATACCAGATCAACCCAGATTTCATATAACTGAAGCTGCATAAAAGCATTCTGACTTGTTTATATTTACTAAATCTTAGGGCCTCATGGCATTGTTCTTTTTCATACTCATTCACTACAGGCAATTAATAGGTTTGCTATTCTTAGTTACAAGTGCAAAAATCTGCCAGTAGGATTTCAGGCAAAGATCCTTAATTACATAACATCTTTCCTTCAGTGTCACCATTAACTAACTAAAGTACTATTACTCTTATGTTTCTACTTTTTATTGAAAAAAGAAATAATTCTAGATGTACATGGGACTTTTGGAATCAAAGACAAGAAAATAAACTACCTCAGCAACTGTGAGAACACAGAATCGAGAGGGGTGTTCAGGATCCACCCCTTCCAATTTCATTCCAACTTTAAATCCATTTCGGCCTTGTGGGAATGATTGATACTGTGATGGGGGAAGAAACATTTGTTTTTAATTCCTAAAGACAAAATCTATTGCAGAGCAGTCACAACATACTTAAGGCTTCAATTTTTATATTTCAGGCTTCGAAAGCTCAACTCAGAGAAGAAAATCCCACCCCAAGTGACTGTGGCTCCAACAGACAGGTGCAGGCTCAGGGATCAGTAAAGGCACCATGATCTTATTTTACATTTACTCGTTATTCTAATTAATCTCCCAAAACCACTGCACTGTTGCAATTAGTTACAAATGCATCTTTGAGAAGATGCAGAAATAAGCTCTTCTCAAACACAAAAGAATCCCCTTCCCAGCTCAGTGCAGAATCAAAGAGCTGGGAAAGCTATAATCATTTTGTGTCAGTCCAGACTCCCACCAAAAGGTAACTTGTCAACTTCAAATGGTGAAAGGGACAAGGCAGGCTTGATCTGCAGCCCAGTTTTACAGTTATTCCAGACAACTTTTGTGTTTTTCATTTATCTGATGCCTTAATCCAAATGAAACAGTTGAGATACAGTAAAAGTTTAAAAGCACCCTGAACTGGGATTGCAAACGATTCAGTGCAGGACTGGACCTTCCTTTTAAGCTCCCTCTGAAGGACCAACAGCCCTGGGCTCTGAAGAGCTCACTGGGAGCTGCACATTTAACTGGGTGCAGAGGCAGCTTCACCAAGGCTGAACTCGGCCTCTGGCACTGCCATGTGGCTGACACAAGCCCACCCTCCCTCCTGGCACTCTCAGTGTGCCCACACCATTGCCTGAGCAGCACAGGGACAGGCTGGGAGGGCTCTGTTCAGTCCCACAGGAACGTGACAGACAGCAGGCTGTCCCTCTCCAGCTGGCCTTGGAAGCTGCCTAACAGCCCACTGGTCCAGAGGAGAGCAGATCCAAACAGCTGCTGCTTATTTGTGGGATTCAACCAGCATTTTTTACACCCTGCTTTGGGATGAGATGCCCAGGGCAAATGCCTGTTTCCCTGGCCTACTTGTACCAAAACAACTAAGAAATACAAGTGCTAGCTTAAGGGTGGTCTCCAGTCCCACCTCCACTGAGCTGGTAATCCTGTGACTGCCAGTAATCCTGTAATGTTGCCTGAGAAAAACAGCAAGAGAATGAAAAAAGCTGCCAACCTCTCTGAACAGCTTTTGGGAAGCAGCTGGCATCTGTTCCTCTTCCAAGTAGGAAGACCAGTTCCATACCTTCTTCTTTCCAGGAAGCACTAATTAATCAAAAACAAGAAAATGAACGCTTCTCTCTGATGACTCCTGCTCTGCTTCTCCACTCTTCTCCTTCTTCTCCCATGTTTGCTGTGGCACCCCAGAAGAGGCAGTGTTACTTAACTTCTGAGGAAAGGTTTTGCTTTCCTTCTCTGCTTTTGCTTGCTTTTGGAAACTCCAGCAATAGGAAAACTGTGCTCATTCCTCAGGAAATGAAACTTTATTGTATCACAGGTCAAATGAACTGTGGCACCTGGACTGCTGGTAAGCTGCCCAAGGAAAGGTGCCAAGGAAGAGTCTGGACAAGACGGATTAACTTAAAATTGTGCAAAGCAATTCCTCCTCCTGACATTTCACAGAGGAATAAGGGGTTAAATATAAACTAACAGGCAGCACAGAGAGGCACATAATTGCAGCTAAAATAAGCCTAAAATAAAATAAATTAAAAACCAAGTGATTTTTTTGCTAAGTTCACAATATTTTTTTATATACACACATATATTTACAACCTCCTAATAATACAATGCATCTACTAGAGAGGCAGCTCCCAGATGATGGAAACAACTTGGATTCATTCTGCTAGAACCACAGTCATACACACAGAAAATTACATTCTAAATGTACATTAAAACTCTCCCCCCCAGTTACATACTGACTGATTTAAGGTATATAATACATTTAACTCATAGTCTATAATCAATCATGTTGTTTACAATTTATTTTTTACTTAGCACTCTAGGCTGTGACTGAAGCTCTCCAAAGTCAATGAAAAAAAGATTCTTATTATCTTCAGTGAGCTCTGGATGAAGCTGACTCCTTCCAGATCCTTACTCTTTGTCCATTATGCAGACAAATCCAGGATATTCCTGCTAATACACCTCTGAAGCTGACAGTGGTAAGAGGGTTATGGACACAATAAGCTGTTCTGAATGTGAAATGAGCTCTCCTGTCCTTTATTCTTCTGTTTATTATTATTCACTTTATAATAGCTACTAAAAAAAATCTATAAACATTAAAGAAAAGAGACTATGAGCTTAGCTCACCTTGTTTTATTGGTTTAGTGTTTCTGCGGCTTTTCATATTATTTGATTTATTCTTCTCCTAGACACAGATACGTTAAAAAGAAGTTTAGCAAGATTGTTTTTCCTTCCCTCTGATCATCTCACAATGCAGGTACAACACGGATGTAACAGCTAACTAAAAGGACTACTAGCCAGCACTGCTGTCTCTTTAACAACCCTGAAAGAACATCAGGAGGGAATGTTACACAGATAAGCTGATCTTGGTACCCAAAGTGCTTTACAAGTTATTAAATATATGCTACTGAAGTTCATTTATATGTTAAAGAGCAGCACAGGACCAAAATCTCCATTACAATACAGAGGATTTGCTTTCTGCAATGCAGGATTTGCTGCTCACATCAGCAGCCTTACTGGAACAATCCTTTTTCCTTTCCCTTTCTTACATCCATCTATGCCAGGGAATGGATACAGGGGGAAAAAAAGGAATTTATGAAGCTCTGAAGGAAGTGGAAGCTTCAAGTAACTCCTGTCATAGATGAGCACCCCAGACAATGTGGTCTCTCTGTGTCACACTCCATGCCCGACCCTCATTCCCGTTTCTTCTGTGTGTTTGCAAACTCGGGCTTGATTTCTCCCAGGCCATCATTTCTCAGAGCAAACCAAAATCAGGCAAAATGTGCCATACAAAGCTGCCTGCCAAACACTCCCCAGAAGGGACAGGGGGACAGTTTCTAATGAGAACGAGGAGAAGGGGGAAGAGAGAGATTGCAAGGATTTCTGAAAACATCCACCCCTTAAAACATCTCACCCACATCCCAGAGAAAAGCTGAGCAAGACGATGAATTAAACTGCTCATGACAGCTGAGGCTGCAGCTTTATTGCCCCTGTTCTGCCATACAGAACTCTGCATTATGTGAATAAACATAAAATGGCTCAGAGAGGCACTGATGAGCAGGAGCAGAGCACAGGGCCCCAGGAGGGGGTTAGGGGCTGCAAGAGACTGAAGGATAGATCAGCTCAGAACTGAGATACTGCTGGTTATGCACCACTAATACAGGTTTCTGGTAGTACAGTGAGAGTACATGCAAGTATGCAATAAAACCCAAACAAACCCTGTGGTTTGACACTGATCTTCAATACCACACAACAGTATTTGAATGTAGTTATTCACAAAATCACAACAGACGTGGTATTATTACTGTGAACTCCTGACTTTCACTTCACCTGAGCTATTGATTCACCCCTGTGACTCCTCAGAACAGATACTCCTATCACTGATGTAAATCAGGATCAGACCCAGACCATTCCCTGGGTACAGAACGAGCTCCCTCAGCCCAGTTGGCACTGCACAAGGAACTCTGAGATAACTACCCCTGCTTTTCACAGCTCTCCTTAAAAGAAGTACATGCAGCCTCATTTACCTCATCCTCATATGCATTTTCCTCCTCATCCTCCGAATCCAAAGGCAATCTTCTCTTCCTCCGGAGACGTCTGACAGGTCTGCCAGCCTCAGCCACCTGACAGCCACTGCTGGTAGTAACATTTCCATTATTTCCTGTTTCTGCAATCATCTGGAATGTCTTTGATATCATTAAACATCCAAAATTAAAAACAATATAAAATTAAAATATTATTCCTGCACTGTTTCCAGTGTCTCTGAACCTCTTGGAATGAGGAGGCCTGGGCTGAGGACCTGAAGAAATGAAAGGTGTCTGCAGGATTTCCTGGTATAGAACTGTAACACTTAGTCTGACAGGTTCATTCTACTCACAGCAACACCGTGCTCCCTTTAAATGTTTTCAAACAAAAAATGGGAAAAATCTGGGATTTCTGTACCTCTCCCTGTGCTGCTGGGAGCCTGTTTGAGTACAAATCTTTCCATTCTCAAAGCAATCCATTTGCTCACAGGTTTGGGAATCAGAGCAGGGCACAGCTTGTCTTGGCACTGCAGAAGTAAAGAAAAAGACAACTATCAAATTAAAATGTTAAAACACCTTTCAGGCAATGAGTTCTGCCAAAGTCCTTTACAAACTTTCATTAACTGACACTCAGTATCCCATTGTGAGGGAAGTAACCATCACCTGTGCGCTGCCACACCACCTCAGCAGAGAAAACCCCCTTTTATTGGTATTGTTTTAATTTTGGAGCACTGGTCTCCAATAGTACTCTCAGGCACATCTTGGTTGACTTGACGATCTTAAAGGTCTTTTCAAACGTTAATGACTCCTTGATACTATCTGTGAGGGAGCTCTCTGCTGAAACAGTGAGTAATTTAATCATAGGAAACTGGTGATTACAAAGCAAGTGATGCTGAGCGGCCTGAAGGGCTGACCCCAGGCTGAAGGGCTGGCCCACGTTGCAGCAGTTTGTGGAGAACTGTTGCCCATGGGATGGACTCACTTTGAGAAATTAATGAAAAACTGTCTCCCACCAGAGTATTCCCTGCTGAAGCAGGGAAGGACTCTGACTCCTGTCCCTGAGCAGCAACAGAAACAACCTTGTGATGAACTGACCATAACCCCCATTCCCATCTCCCTCTGGCTCTCAGGGGAGGAAGGAGAGCTGGGAAGGAGGAGAGCTTTGACACTCATCCCTGCTCCAGTACAGCCCTGCACACACTCAGCTTGTCGTGCTAAGGACATCACAGGAAATCCAGGTGCAGAACTAGAAAACCCATCCAGACACACACAGGGCAGCTTTGGAAAAAGCACGACACATGGCAGACTTCAGAGATTCATCCTTGGAGCTTAAAAGACAGGCCATGCAGGAATACTTTACTGGTCTAGATAAAATTATTAAAGTGTGTTAAATAGTGTCACTATGCATCTTTTATTACTCCTGACCAGCAAATGCAACCAAGTATAAAAAAATTACCTAAAAAAACAGCTTTTTGATGAGCAAATAGCTGCAAAGATTACCCACTCCTTGATCTTCTGTACTGTGTGCATTATGGAGCTACTGAACTCCAGAATGAAAGAGGCAAGTCAAAGGTGGTTGCATTTGCAAGCTCTGCTCCAAAGCTTTTATTCCAAGCACTTCATTAGTCTGAGATCTTTTCTCAGCCATCTGCACTTCACTGAAACTTCAGTCTGAAAGCATTTGCTTCACTCTGAAACAGGGCTCCTTTGTTGAGTGGAGAAGCCCCCTCTGTCTTCTATGTGCTTCTTGGCCTCAGGATCCTGCCTCCAGCACCCTATCAAAGCTTCATCCCAAATGTTCTTCCCCCTCTTTCTCTAAAGCTTGTATTTCTTAAAGCTTCAAAGATGCTGGACTTGCTTCTGAAAGGCTCACATTCTGTGCAGCCCCAAGGAGACAGAGCATCATTTCATTTCAACACAAAGAGAAATGTCCCATTCTGAAGAAATGATAATTCTAAGTGGACTCAGCTTCCTGCACGATTCCATCCAGTTCATCTCCCTCAAACACTTCAGGAGCAGCAGCATCCTGGTGCAGATTTCAGAGGCTGAGGCTGATGGGACAGCTCAGTGCCATGGCAGAAGGACAGTGGAAGGAGATCTCCAAGCTCCACATGCTGTTCCAGACAGAGTTCCTGTGCTCAGGAGCTGGGAAGGTGCCTGTGGCACTGCAGGAGCAGAGGTCTCCAGGGCAGTGACGCCCCTGCACATGAATGAACAGTTCTGGTTCTGCCCAAACCGGTGCAGACAAAGGCTAGGGCTCCCTCCTGCCAAAATCTCACAGTGCACCTGTGGCCAGGTGAGCTGAGGAAGCCCAACCCCAATCCCAGAACACATAAATTTGTATCAGAAAAACAGCAAGCATCTTTACTAACAGTGTCTGATCTGGGGGTGAGGCCTGGCTGATCATGGGGGGAACCTCCAGTTTCATCCCACAGTTCTATCCCTCATTCCTAAGTTCTGGAAATGCAGAATTTACTATCAGGACTGAATCTTCCTTTACACAACAGAGCTCAGTAGAGCAGGTTTGCTAATACAAAATCCACACAAACCCTCCAGAAATAATCTGTCCTTCCAGAGATGTTCTTGAATGGTATTAAGGAAAAATGCATTTTGTGCATGGAAGAACTCGAATATAGTAGGAAGAGAGAGGAGGAAAAAGGATTAAACAGGAAAAAAAAAAAATTGGCATCTTAAGGACAAAGCAGCTCTCTGGGCAGCTAGATATTATGTTCCAGCTGCACATTCCAACCAGACCCACTAACCAAGGTATTGAGGGCTCTTATACTTGATCATCTAATATAAAACAACACATTATTATTTGGTGTCTTTCAGTCTAATAAATAATGTGGTGCTTTGTTGATTCTCTGCTATTAGGAGGAATCAATAAAAGTGAAGCTGTTTCTGCAACGGAATGTTACTGCTGGGTAAGGAGCAGAAGTATAATGACTTGGATTGAACACAGGGCTAAAGTTACACCACTGCAAAATAACCCAAAGGAGTCAATGGACCAATTCCATGTTTTATGGGAGTGTAGACCGCTGATCTCAGAACACCCCAAGCATGAAGGTTTATCCACATCTGCTGGCAGAATTGTCTCCTCATAGCTTAAGATCCTTCACAGCCCTTCCCCACTGCTCAAAGGGAGAAGGAGGAGGAAAAGGAACATTATGAACACAGGTTGAATGCCGGGGACCTGATTCTGAATGCCTGATGTGGTAACAACAACAGCCACCACCTGATTTTTCAGAGCTCTCAAGTTTCTTCAGCTCAAATTTATTTCACTTGAAATTGATCTTTTCTTCCCCAAGACTCAGAACTTGCAGCCTTGAAGGCAATTCTGTGTATTTGTTTTCAGCACAAAGGAACAGAACTGCTGAATACCTTCATTTGCAAATGTCTACAGCCACTCCCCCGCCTCTAACACAGAACCCCAGGTTTGTGACCATCAGACTTGGTTCTGATTCATGAGAGCCCTGTTTGCCCCTGAACAGCATTCTTGATCTGAAGCCTTCCAGGTGCTCAACTTTCTACCTACAGGTTTAGTGTGAGCATAATTCAACCAAAGGCAGACCCATAGACCTGACGCTGGGCAACACAGGACACTTCAGCATTCCTGCAGCTCCAATCCCAGCACCACCACAGCTCTTTATGATTAATTTAATTGGGCCAAAAGCAAGACAGATGTTTGCAAATGGCAATAGGAAATATACCTGGGATAACCTCTGTAGGAGTTCCCCAGCTTCCACTGGGGTATGGGAACTGCAGGTGTGGAACATCTGCGGCCGTGTCCATGTTCAGGGTCACAGAACACATCCACATCTCCACGGCTGCAGGGAGAGGCAGGAATTGGACTCAATGAGCCTTGTGTTGGGTGCTATTGAATATGTTAATATTTGATGTAGCCTTGTACATCTATAAACATTTGTTTATAGCAAATGCTTGGTCGCCAGTTTCACCAAGGGCAAGCCCACCCCTTTTTTGATTTTATTCTTTGTGTCCAGGCTTTAAAAATAAAGAAGCTCAAGTACCAAGATCATTTACAAAGCTCCCTCTAGGAGAAGGAGTTTGGAAGTTACTTGGACAGAAGTAATTAACTTGGAGAATTTACTTCAAACTGGGTCAGGAAAAATGTCAAAAATCACAATGTAGAAAACAATCTGGAACTTAACCAGAGAAGGCCTGATAAAATAATTGGTCTTTCTCATCTCTGCATTTTATAAATCCAGTAGAACCCACAGAAAAATAAAATAATCGCTTTTCTTATAATGCTCCCTTATTAGTAAAATCTGCATTAAAATCAAGACAATCCAATAAAAGGAAGCAAATGGGGCAATTAAAAAGAGAGCAGAAACTAACATGAAACATTTTGAAGAACCATAGTCAGGCCCAAAAATTCCTCATTTGTCCCAGTTTGTAATTTCTATTCATCTTTAGCATTTTAAGTCTCAGAAACATTAAGGCAAAAGAAGATACTACAAAACTGAGATGAGTCATTCAGTTCCAAGTTGCAGATTCAGATTTATGATTTATGATAAATGATTGCCAGCCTGGCAGAGATAATGAAGCCGAATTAATATGCTTCCACCCAGAGCTCTATGCTTTATCTTTAGACAAGGAATCCACAGAAAATGGCCAGAAATACTCAGGTTTTCATCTCATTTCTGCCCCTGAACCAGTGCAGGCTTGGGAAACCACCTCATTGTTACTGTAGAAAACCAGCTTTGGCTTTTAACATCCCTCTTACCTTTGTTAGGAGATGAAAAATTAAAAAAAAAAAACCAAAAAAACAAAACCAAAAAAACAAAACCAAACCAAAAAAACCCCCAAAAAACCAAACCAAACCAAACCAAACAAACAAAAAAACCAAAAACAAACAAAACCAACCAACCAAAAAAAAACAGGAAGAAAAAAAAGTAAAAGTTCATTCAAAGTGAGTGAGAAGGCTAAATGGGCAGATAGGGGTTCACTCTACTTCTATAAACACCATCAGACTTGATGGGAAGAAAAATATTTCAACAGAAATCCCATTCTAGGTGCTGCCAGGATAATTTCCAATGACATGAGGATTTCAGTGTCTCTCTCTGGTGAGAAATGCAATGGTGCAATAAACCCAGACACTGTAAATCAAGTATTAACGTGAAGTTTGCAGCACTTCTGGCTAAGCTTCCATGGACCAGGAGGCAAAATCCCATTCAAGAAGCACTTGGCATCGAGGGAACCATCTGATACTGTGCTGTTCTGGGAATAACTGATTTACAAATCACCTTTCTGCCCTGAAACAGGGCAGGAGCTGAGCAAAGCTGCTCCTCCCACTCAGTGCAAACCAGCTCTGAGAGCTCCCATCTCCTGGGAGCTCTGCAGCGGTGTCTGACACCTGACATTTGACATCTGCCAGCCCCTCCTGTGCCATCAATGAGGAACAGAGCTGCACTTTAAACAGAAACACACAAACCCCATCATGACTCCTTGCAGCACAACTA